ACACACACACACACACACCTGATCTCATGACGAATCCTCATGTTTAAATCACACGCGTCTATTACAGCTGTCATTCTTAATAAAGCGATTTGCGCTGCTGTCGGTTCGGTTCGGTTCGGGACTCACCTCAGCAGCAGAAGCGCGGCTCGGCTCAGTTCGGCTCTCGTCTCATCCTGAAGCTTCGGCTCATACCGACTCACTAGGTTGTCATTCGGTCCGGCCGGTACCGGGACGCGTTCGGGCTCGAGTTTCACTGCGCGGAACGACCGTCGCCGCTGCGCTCCGCCATCACGGACAGAAAGCGAGCAGAAGCTCCGAACAGCTGCAGACGCGACGCGCGGACTGACGCCCAGCGGCGCGGAGCCGCATTACAACAACCGCACTGACGACTGCAGATGCGGCTTCTGACGAGCCTGAATGATTAATATTCTGATTTTAATCGTTTTGTTCAGTGTCTGTTATCAGTACGTCTATCTGCGTCGTATTGTGGAGTCTGGCGCGCTGCTGAGGTGACGCATGACGCTGTCACGTGACACGTGTTACTTTTCTCAGCGCGGCTGAAGACGCATTCGTTAATAGATGTTTATGATTACTTCACAAGGATTTTCATTCATTTTATATATTTGTACAAACGCCAACTTCCATTAGCATGTCAGGTACGGATTATTGGCGTTATAATGGATTTAAATAATATGATTTAACGAGCACAAATGTCTCCAATACGACAAAAACGTCTGTAAAAACACGAATTGTTAAATAATATTACAAAAATACAGTAAAATTGTGAAATATTACAATTTAAAATTGCTGTTTTCTATGTGAATATATAATCAAATATATTTTATTAATGTGATCAAAGCCGAATTTTCAGCATTATTGCTGTTCATTTGAACTTTCTATTTATCAAAAAAATCCTGAAAATATGTCTACACAAAATATTAAGCAGCAAAAACTGTTTTTAACATTGATACAAATAATAAACATTTTTAATAACTGAGCAGCAAATCAGCATATTTGAATCATGTGACTGAAGACTGGAGTAATGATGCTGAAAATACAGCTGCGCATCACAGAAATACATTACAGTTTAACAGAGATTCACATAGAAAACAGCTGTTTTAAATAGTAAAAATATTTCACAATTTTTACTGTTTTTACTGTATTTTTAATTAAATAAATGCAGCCTTGGTGAGCAGAATAAACTTCATTAAAAAAAATGTTTCCAAACTTTGACAAGTACTATATACTGTGTATATATATATATATATATATATATATATATATATATAAAGGAAATGATGTCACAGAGTCTGATGCACATATTCACTTATATTCTTTATTTTTCTGCAAAATAAGGGGAGGATACAGTCTTAAAAAATCTTCCAACAGGACTTTATTTACAACATACAGTTTCCCTGGTTACCAAAATAACACAAATTAAGAGCAACAATCGTAAAAGTACATCTTAAAAATAAAAATAGAACGTGGATATTTAGTTTCTTTTCATACCTAGACAACCGCTAGGACTAGTTAACACGGTGCAGAGCTCAAGCAGATGAGGTGAAGCTTCGACGGATGCGGTTCTTATCATGTATTTATATATTTCTGTCAGACCTGAGCTCAACGCAGCAGCAGACGCTAAACAGCACAAACATCAGACATACCAGCTTCTGTAGCATTAAAATACGGTAATATATTTAATAACACGGACGACCAAAGTACTCTGTTCATCATAGACTGATTCATCAGTTCTGCTCCTGCATATAAACTGATGTTACGAGAAGCTTAACTAACACTCGTTTACCCGCATACAGTAACCGGACTCAATGTTTTACTAGCAGCGTCCGGCTGATAGACACACAGCAGCGGCGGATCTCTGTCAGGACCAGAATGCACTGCAGCTGACGCTCACTTCACAAACAGGAAATTATGTTTTGTTTGTTTGTTTGTTTGATGACCAGCTGTTTCCAACATGGCATAAAAATACAGGTAAAAGGCAATATTCATTATTTTGTAATTTGTAAGATTCACCTGAAAACATCTGTAATGCATCTGGCGCTCAACACGTTAATCTGTTTGTTTCATATACAAATATACATTTATGCGCATAAACATCTATAGCAACTTTATTTAAAAATAAATCTCATAGTACACAGCATTTAGTTACATAAAAATACGTTTTCCTCTGAATGTGGCCTTGCTCAGGAGAATAATCGTGCAAATACAGGCAGGCAGAAGAGAGTGCAGATGAACGGATCACACACACACACACACACACACACACACACACACACACACACACACACACACACACACACACACATTCACTCTCTCACTCACACACACTCTCACTCACACAAACACACACACACACACACACACTCTCACTCACACACTCTCACTCAGACACACACTCACACACTCTCACTCACTCTCACTCACTCACTCACACACACACACTTTCACTCACACACTCTCACTCACACAAACACACACACACTCTCACTCAGACACACTCACACACTCTCACTCACTCACTCACACACACACACACACACACACACACACACACACACACTCACTCACACACACTCACTCACATACTCTCACACAGACACACACACACACTCATGGTGTTTGTCATTCTTGTCTTTGTGTGTCTCGTGCAGCTGCTGCTGTCTCAGCTCTGTCTCCATCCGCTCCTCCGTCTCTCCCGGTGTTCTTCACGCATGTGTATCGCTCGGCTCCCGTCGGTCTGCAGGTGTTTCTGGACCACTGTGTGGGTGTGCTGGGATACGGAGTGCAGGATGTGCAGGCGGTGACGGAGATCAGGCGTGCCGTGGAGGAGGCGGTGGAGTTTGGTGTTGACAGACAGGACCTCTGCGAGCGCTTCATACACCTGGACCTGCCCGAGGATGGGCGGAGCAGAACACTCCTGCAGTACATACAGGTGAGAGAGAGACAAACCAGTGATGAGTGAGCGTTCCCCGCGGGTTCAGCTGTGCTGAGAGTGTGTGTGTGCGCAGGATCTGGTGGATGGGGAGCAACTGGTGGAGGCGGGCGCTCTCTCTCAGAGGCTGGTGTGTGCGGAGGCCGCGTCTCATTGGCTGTTACAGAGCAGGTGTGGGAGTGTGCAGATGCAGCAGGCGTTCCCAATGAGAAGCCCCGCCCATGACACCCCCCCACATACTAGAAGACAGACCGTGGAATCAGAATTACAGGAGACAGTCGCTGCGGATCCCGTCTCCACAGACACAGCTGTCAATCAGACTGTCGCCAGGGAATCCGTCTCTATGGACACAGCTGTCAATCAGACCATCTCCACAGACACAGCTGAGAGTCAGCCTGTTTCCATGGAGATTGATGCTGAGGAGGCGGTCCATAAAGATGACGGAGGCTCAGAACAGCATATGTCAGATGACAAAGGGGTGGGGCTTAACACAGACCCTGCCCCCTCTCAGATGAAAGGTGTGTGTTTGGACTCTGAGGTGTTTTGACTCTGGTTTTCGTGTGTGTGTGTGTGTGTGTGTGTGTGTGTGTGTGTGTTGATGTTTCTGTTGTTGTTTCAGACGGAGCTGAAGGAGCTGCTGATCAGGACACACAGTGAGTCACACTCACTTCCACGGATCTCTGGGATGCTCGGTTCTGATAGACCTTTTACACATTTGCGGGATTCTCAGCAGTGGAACTCGTCATAGTTGGGTTAACTTTGAGAGCAGTGAATGGGAGAGTACCACAAATATATTTCTTGCATTCCCATTTGCTCAAATAGCAAAAACAAACTCCAAACTTTGGAGTATTTACGATGCTGATGACTGTTGAAGTCTCGTGAAAAGGCTGTGTTGAGATGTTTCTGTGTGATGAAGAGCTGAGTGTGATGCAGTGCTCTGTCTGCTCTCTCTCCGTCAGCGGGTCGGTGTGGTTCGTCAGCCGGCCGTGGCGTGTGGTGGACGGCTCGCTCAATCGGCCCGTGTGTAAAGGCATGCTGGAGTCTCTGCTGCTGCACATCATGTCCAGCCCGGCGCTGCTCGAGTCCCAGCTGCTGCAGCACTACAGTCAGGTGCTGCAGCCCGTGGTGGTGCTGGACCTGCTGCAGGTGACCTCTACACGGCCCTCGGGTGATCACTTGAGTGCATGTGACTCCTCTCTGTTTGAATTCATTTGACTGTGGCGCTCGCAGGGGGTGGGCACTATGACCAAAAACTTCAACTATCACGATATGATTCATTTTATTTCACGATAACAGTATATATCACGATATGGTTATTTTTCACCAGTGTCAAAATCACAAAAATCTAATACTAGCCTAAATAATATTAGAAAAAACTAAAAACTCCAGCTCACTGAAGACAAGTAAACAGTCAGCGATTAAATAAGAATAAGAAACTAATTATAAGCAATAGGACAAAAAACTTCAGTAAAACAAATAAGAAATGCTACATACATTGTGTAAAGTACTCAAATGTATAAAAGCACTGTATATTCTTCACTGTGTAAATTAAATACATATTTCTCTTTTTTAAAGTTACAAAAGTGATTTAGTCAAGGGCAGTGAGAGATTTTCTCTTTTGATTAAAATGAATGACAGACTGCAGGAATATTAGACTGCTGTCACTTTAAGAGCTGCCCGGATCAATATACGTTTTTTTTTCCCAGCTGTTTGCTTTCACCTAATACCTAAATTACGGTGTTTACGAGGATACTTGCAAAGACAAGCATTTTGACACGTACAAGTGCGTAAAGGCTTATAAAGCAGCAAAGATAACCCCACTCAATACTTCTCTCACAGCACTCAGACAACGCATGCATGTACAACATGAGTTCTCTTTCACTGCTGATTGCGCTTCAACGGCTTAAAATCACTTGTTTTTTACCCGCAATGCTTAAAAATGAATGCAAATGATAAGTTTTCGTGACCACGTAGCACAGCAACGTCACGTGAGCGTTTAACTGCGATAGAGAAAATAATGTCAAATCTCTACCGGTGTATCGCCCAGCCCTCGTGTCTAGTGTCTCTCACAGAAGTGTGTGTGTGTGTGTGTGTGTGTGTGTGTGTGTGGACAAACACTCATACACACGGAAAAACCTGCTGCCTTCATATGAGCCCAATGGGTGACTGAGTGTGTGTGTGTGTGTGTGTGTGTGTGTGTGTCGTCAGGTCCTGGTGGATGTGGGCTGCGTGAGGAAGCGCTACACCGTCCAGCAGCACAAACCGTCGCTCTTCTCCAAGCCCAGGGCGCCGCAGGTCAAAGGTCAGGCAGAGGTCAGTCGTAGGGATGCTGGGACAGTGTTTTACGAGCCGACGGTGGACTGCGTGCTCAGACTGGCGCGGGTCTTTCCTCACGAGCTCAACTGGAACAAATGGGTGCAGCTGTGTCTGCGTGCGTGATGCTAATTGTTTTAATATCATCTGCTTCTGTTCATAAATCACAATAAAGACACAAGTCCATGATGTACCATTTCAGTTAAACATGTTTCTGGAGCAGCCAGCTGTTTTTTATTTTTTGTTTTGATGAAATGAACAATGAGAAAATGCTGAATATTACAGAGGAAGAGGATCTGAAGCAGCTCTAAACAGAGATGATTTACAATTCTGTGTAAAGGTCTCCCACTGGGAAATGGCTTTATTTTGGACATTTTTGGAGATTAATCACGCCACATTAGTTTAAAAGGCTAATTTACTTTTAAACTTGTATGTTTCATCCTTACTAATAAATAGCGAGCAAGAGCTTGTGTTGTACAGTGAAAATATAACTCGTGTCAATTGTGACACATCAGATACATTTCTGCAGACTTCAATCTCTTAAATCAAATTTATTGTAATTTCCACAGATGTTCATATTTCTTCTGGTCTTATCGTCTCAAAGCAAAACCCCTAAACATGATTCTTCTCCAGTCACTCATGATGTGGTGTTGTGGCTCACTGTCGCGGCGCCAGCTTGAGTATGATGGGCTCTTTGGGAGCCAGCAGGCCGTTAAAGCTGAGCTCTAGAGGAATCTGTGTAGAGAGACGGTCACATGATGCTAATGCTTACAGGGTTTCTGCAGGTCTGAGAAAGACTTCATTCACACTTCCACAAATGATTACCACAAATGATTAAAGCCTAAAAAGCTCTTAAATCAGAGCAGAACGTCTTCAGTTCATGCAGTCGTGGCATTAAATGTTGCATGCACTGCAAAAAAATGAATATCTTCCTCTGTGTTTTTGTTTTCCAGTACAAATACCTTAACATCCATTAATCAAGATACATTGGAGATGTGAATGCAGAACAAAGCCTGGACAAGTTTAAAGTTGTATTTATTCTTAAAACAAGAACAAATGTCTGGCAGCTGGAAATGAACAGAGATATTCAAGCCTTAAGCTCGCTCTTTTGTAAAATTAAGAAAGTAGTGGACATTTATTAAAGTTTTCAGACTTTAAAGTGTTGCTAATAAAGTCATTGTGTTTCTCTCTAGACATTTACAATTAGAGAATATATAGGTGTGTTCTGTTCCCTTCAGTTTATTCCTTAGTTTGTCTTTACTTGGCATTACCAAGTACCTTTAAAAAAAAGCCTTAAATGTACCTTCTTAAAACTTGCAGAACCCTGGGTTTTAATCCAGATGTATCAGTTTAGAGCCGGGCAAACTGGTATAGTTTGGTGCCGATATACAGGTGCATCTCAATAAATTAGAATGTCATGGAAAAAAACGATGGATTGGTTGAGATTTGAGCTTTGTGTGAGCTGTAGGAGTCTCACCTGAGTCTGGTCACAGACGGAGACGTCGAACCTCTGCAGGATCTCCACGATGGCCAGCTTCATGGTCACCTGAGCAAACCTCATCCCGATGCAGTTCCTGGGCCCCAGACCGAAGGGCATGTACATGTAGGGGTCGATCGACTCCTTGTTGTCTTTAGTGAACCTGGGAATGAAGCAGAAGCAGTTACTCTGAAGAACCACTGAGATGTTGGGTTTTAGAGTGAACTCAGGTGTGTGTTTCTCTGGCTCTAGTTCTCTACAGTGCTGTGTTTTGTGGTTAATGACTGACCTCTCGGGTTTGAAGCTCTCCGGGTCGCTCCAGTAATCCGGGTCTCTGTGAAGCGCGTATGTCGGGATCATCACCACCACGTCTTTAGGGATGAGGAAGCCGTTGATATCCACCGTTTTCTTACAGACCCGCTCGAGTCGACCAGCGACGGGGAACAGCCGCAGAGACTCGTTCAGCGCCGCGTCCAGATACTCCATGTTCATGACGGCTTCATAGTCCACCGGAGCCTTCAACACAGTTCAGAGCTTAACCTCTCAAACTCTTCACACTTACAGATTCACTCAGTTCTCCGAGCTCTACCTTATCAGGGAAGGTCTGGTCGATCTCCTCCTGCAGTTTCTTCATGGCCTCTGGGTTGGTTGCCAGATTGTAAAAGAAGAAGGACAGAGTGCTGCTGCTGGTCTCGTACCCGGCGAAGATGAAGATCATGGACTGCGAGAGGATCTCGTGGTCGCTCAGACCTGCACAGGACACGGTGTGAGGAACGCGTGCCATTAAACGTGAATTATTGTGAAGGAGAGTGTGAGCAAACGAGAATCGTGACAAAGATCATAAGAGTCACTGAAGATGTACTTTTAATGATGTTAAAATGGTTGAGTTTGTGTATCATTTTTGCATGATTTTAATAGCCATAATGAAAGTGACGATATATCATTTACCTCAGATCTTGAACATAAGGAAAACAAGAGATATATTAAAGCAATAAGCCCCGTGAAGCCGTGCTTTACAGTGAATTTATAACAGCTAAGGGGCATTGTTAGGCACGACGCGATGTGGAGCTAAAACCCCCTTAGCTGTTATAAATTCACTGTAAACCACGGCTTCACGGGGCTTATTGCTTTTATAAAACGGTTATTCCATATACGTAGTAAGGTTTCACAAAATAAAACAGAGCAAATAAAGTGTAATGATATTAATAAAAACAGTATTCTTCCACCAAACAATGTAGCTCCTCAGAAACAGTTGTGGTTGCTACAAAGTGGTTGCCGAGCAACACACAAACGTAAACAAAGGTGTATGTTTGTAGAGTAATTTACAACAGCTTCGAACGTGGCTCAGCCAATCAGAATCAAGGACCGGAACTATCCGTTTTATAATAAAGGGTTAGTTCACCCAAAAATGAAAATTAGCCTGTGTTTTACTCACCCTTGAGGCATCCTAAGTGTATATGACTTTCTTCGATTGGATTCGTCTGAAAGAAGAAAGTCATATACACCTAGGATGGCTTCAGGGTGAGTAAAACACAGGCTGATTTTCATTTTTGGGTGAACTAACCCTTTAATGTTAAAATGGTTTAATTTTTATTCGTTTGATCTACTGAGTTCGATTACATCTACACAATACGGATAAGTTTTGCATACAGACATTGTCAAAACATTCCCCGTTCACACGCTTCCACAAAAGATGCTGTATTATTAATGTCAGGCCAGTAGGTGGCGATCAGCGTTGCCAGATTTTCACAACAAAACCCGCCCAATGCTACTCAAAACTAGCCCAATCAAGGGCCCCCTGGTAGCAGTGTTAAAGTAGCCCAATCCCGCGTTTTCAAAAACTTGCACTTTGAAGCTCGTTATCAAAAGTTTTCAGGCCCCAAAATGCCGTCGTTGTGTAAAGACCGTCCGAATACTTAAAAAGTGTTCTGTCTTTAGTTGAAAACGTCGTCGTGTTGCACCGCGTGAGTGATGCGCATGCAGAGAGGCTCCGCACACACACTCTTCTGATTGGCTGTGGTTTGCGATAGATTTAGTTGCGTCTGGTGTAGACAGACATATCACTGGAAGTAAAGCAGCTGAACGTGAGAGGACTCTGAGATGCTTCACCTTTCTCCGTGTGTTCCTCGCTGCTTCCACGCTCAGGTTTCCCTGCTGTCTGAGAATCGACCATCAGCTGCAGGAAGTCCACTCGCTTCTACAGGAAGTGAGAAACATGCTCTGATGACAGCTTCATTTAAAGGCTCATATCTGTCTGTTTGTTCGTGTGAAGTGTTTGTCGTACCTTCTTGTGGTCCTTGGCCACTCTTTCGGACTTGATCTTCTTTAGGGCAGCGTAGAAGAAATCGGTCACAGATGTCGGGAAGAGGGCGTAATTCATTTTCTCCAGGACAGGGGTGATGAAAGGAAATAAAGCTAATGAAGACATTCAAAAAGGTACGTTAGCATTCTCATGGATGCAACAGCATTGCCACCAATTCCAGATGAAATGGGATAACCTTTCACAAGTGGGAATTTCGCCTAGTGTTTTTATTATTATTATTTGTATTAATTTGGTATGATTAAGTTTGGGGAAAAAATAATGTGTTAAATTATTAATATATTTAAGGCCAGACCTGTGTGTCGTCTTACACTGCATAAATCTATATATATTAACAAACGGAGTGAGTGAATGATTCAGTGACTCATTCACACAAGCTGTCTTTGTTTCTGAATGCTTCAGAATGAACGATTTAATGAATGAATGACAGCGCTGTAATGTAATAATACTTTGTTACAGTATTTAAGTATAATTTTGGGAGTATCTGTACTTTACTTGAGTTTTTATGTTTCAGCCAACTTTTACTTTTACTCCACTACATTTCCTAATTAAAATGTATACTTTTACTCCGATACATTTCCCCAAAGCATATTCGTTACTTAGAAGAACACGGACTGCAGGGAAGCAGGTTTGACGAATCAGTGGTCTGGCGTTTGCAAGTTAGACTCCTAAAAACACCTTTGATCGTGCAAACATGTGCGCGCACAACTGGGGATGATTCATTTTCCACTCAAGTCGAGTCTGGGGTCTGCGATACAGCATCGTCTGCGATAATACGGTAAGTGTTGTTGTAATGATGTGCGATCTGACATTATCCAGTAGGCTATATCACCAAATCACACACAGAGTGCAAGCACGTGATTTATTAGTCTATTAAAACTCAAAATTCCAGGCATTCTCAATTGTAGACGGCAAAAATGCTTCTGTATGCTTTTTATATTTATATAATTTAATATAGTTAACTTAATCTATATCACAAAGAGTACCGTTTTTCCGCAGATATCAGCATGAACACATTTAATAATAATTGTATACAAGTTCAGTAAAGCAATAAGTGACTTACATTTTAGACATAATATTGCTTGTTTTTGCTTAATTTTGCCAACGAAAATAGTTCCAAAGATCACAGCACTGTTTTGCGTCTCTGAGCAATGGACGGTGTTACCTTATTGAATGAATCAGCTTTTTGAACAAATCGGTTGAATAAATGATTCAGTGATTCACTCATTAACACAGTCAAATGCTTTGTTTCTGAATGAATCAG